CGGATTGTGTTGTTTTGTCTCTAGCGTGAAATCGCCCCAAATCTAAGGAAACTCTCTCAAACAGAAATCTGAATCCTTGTCATCTTAATCACACCATTGATAAAAATAAAGCGACTCTAGTATTCTATTTAAGCAGTTTTATTTCCGCAAAGGGCTTCCACCGTACTCGTCAGTTAAAGCAGCACAGAAAAATTAAGTTCGAGTTCTCACTACCCCTGATTGATGTTTTCAGACATTTTTTGATATAGCTAAATAGCTATAGCCTTTCTTTATTTGGCGCGATATTAAGTATACTAGTATGCGGGATTTTTCTGGTTGAGAGAAACTAACACGGTTGAATTCAAATAAATAAATAAATATCAAAAATAGCGATAATGTTACCTGCACTCCTCTATACTTAAAATTATCATCTTCTGTGAAATTACCGACGTCAAGAAATCGGTCGGAATCGCTCAGCTCACAAACGAATGTCCCCGATCTGTTCTTTGTGTTCCCAAAGTTGTAAGAGAGGCATCGTTCATCCCTGACGCATTGAAAGCTGCAGTCATCTTCTGACATCACATCAACTTGCTTTATAACGCTTCCGTTTAGTTTTCGTCTTTCTTTTGCCTGAGCAAAGTTTACAGCTTGAAAGTCAGGCGTTGAAATACGGCTTGTGCAGTATGCAGTGGTCACGGAAAAAACGATTAGAGGGAGCAAAAGCATTTTGCCGGACAGGTCTGCTTCACAGTGTTTCAGCTGTTCTGCTTCTGCTGGATAGTTCAATTCACTTTATAGCCCTTTAGGCCAAAGTATTTATAATTCCAACGCAATTTGAATAAATTTGAACTATTTCTACCCATTCAACACAGACAGACACCTAATTTACTGTAATGTTGGATACCGAAAAAAATTAATGTTAAATTACTAACACCGTCAACTTCCGCTTTCGTTTCAAAACAAGCTACATAGCAGTGCTGATCTAAATAATTTACTCGCCTTATTAAGCTTCAAAACGTCGTAAAAAATCTGTCTTAATTTCGGGAAAAATCATTTTATGATGACTAGACTAGTAAGACTGTATTTTCCGGGAGGGGGTACTCAACATAGTTTTTTTCGAGGTCCAACCCCTAATAACCCCTTTATATACCAATTTTGACAGGAAAGGTACTCCTTTCGTATACCCTCTAATTACAAATGGTACCCCCTTCACTAACTAATTTAGAAACTTGCATCCCTTTTAACTGCTGTGAATGCAGTGCATTCAAGTTTGAATTAATCCCAAAAATAGATGGTTTTTTCGCATCCAACCGATTTTTTTAGCAGACTAATTTTTCCTTTAAACCTAGTGTTTCAATGGTGACCGTAGAACTATCATAAGCTATCATAATGATTAAAATTACTCTTAAAAGCTTTACTAAATTGGGAGAAATGCGAATCATTTGGTATCGGTGTCAAAAATGTGCTGACATTCGTAGAAACCGGATGTATTGTTTCACAGTTCGATTGTCTAGTAAAGACGCCTATTAATGTGAAATAATTTGTTTCATAGTTTGTGGGGATCATGCTCCCCTCCAGTTTTGGCTTATCTGTATGTTAACGATCTTACTTGTTTTCCTTTGGGAGCTCTGCTTTTAAGCAGGTGGTTCTATGAATTGCTTAATTATTTCACATGATTCTCATATAGAGCTGTTTCATGTACAATAAAAAATTAGTTCCTTTATATTTTACATTTGGAAAGCCGAAAGCGAGTAATATTCTGAACGCATTGCTTTCAACTTTTAGTCTCATGCTGGCTTGCCTCAGGCACTTTTAGAGATACAAAGCTAAAATAACTTGAGTAGTGAAGGAGGCTCAAGAAGGTCCCGACCAATCACAGCGCAGCAGAAATTGTCTCGACCAATCACCATCGAGTATTTAGCCCATGTGACCAAGATGACGTCAAAGCTCCCATATTTGGGCATAAAAATCACGTGACCCCACCCAAGAGGTGGATCTGCATGCTTGGCATAGTTTTAAAGGACCGCGTAGAACCTGGGTACAAATGGGACACTCAAAACGAAACCCCAGTCCCCTCACATCCCCGTCAGTCCATAAAAAAAACACACACTGTATTGAGGTCCACATCATTTTAATACAAGTCTCGACAATACCCTAAATGACATCCGGGACGTGTGTGAGGTCCTAGTGACGTCACGCCCTTTTTTAATACAATTCTAATAGCAGATCGAGTTCATCCCCAATCCTCTCGTAGCCATAGGGATAGCTGGATCGGGTGGTCACATCAATGAGGCGCTTGTCAAACACCAACCTATACTGCTTCACACGCGGAACCACTTGAATTTGTTTCTTCTCTAGATCCCGTGTGAAATGATAAGGAGTGACAATATTCAAATTCCGGCGAGAGTCCTGAGGCGAGTCTAGTTCCGAGAGAATATTCTCTTTCATGGTGTGAAAATTCAGAATGGCAGACCCCCGAACATTCAGCGTGAAACCACGAACCTTGCACACCACTTTACCTCCACGGGTCGTGTACCCATAATTCTTAGCACCTCCCGAAACAAACTCGGTGATGACATCCCCGTCCAATTCATCCGTCATGTCCCCCAAAAAATCACCTGTGGTGATGGAGGGTTGACCGGGACGCCACTTGTACACCACACTGTCGGTATCATAATAAAGCACTTGCTGCTGGAGAGTGTCCAGGGACTCGTAGAGCTTGAGTCGAGCATGACACGTGGTGAACGCCGCCACAAAGATGTTGGTCTTGGTGCCTTTGATGGCATTGTCTTGGACACTGGTGTAAACGGCTTCCAAAATATCGTCGGTACAGAGGCGGAGTGTACTGAGATCAAGAGCTGCATCAGAAACGAGGCTGAACAAATGGGTGGGGTTTTGAACGGTGATGGTGGTGGGTTTGTTGATCCGCTCGCCAAACTTGCCCCAGAAACTATTCAACATGAGTTTGGCCGTGGCCTTGCGACCAGGGTTTTTGGCAATGCTGGCAATGTCCAGTCGGATCCCTTCCCGTTCCTGGTAGCGAAGAATGTACTCGCGTTTTTGTTCGAGGGTCTGGCACCAACTGGGCCACCCCGCGGATTCTTGTTTGAGTTTGAGCCAAGTGTTCACGTAATTGGCGAAAAGACCTGTTTGGCGTTGCTCAGGGGGAAAATGCCAGACTTCATGGATCTTGATCAAGGTGTACCCCTTTTCCACGGCTTTGACCAGCTCAGGCGTACACCAGGTCCCACGTAGCGTGCGATCGGCGTCCGAATGAGGGCAATACTGGGTTCGGGTCAACATGGGTTGGGCTTGCTCTGTCTGGACACAGGCACGGCAGAGAGGAAAGGTGAGCTTTTGGCCACAGCGTACAGGCAAGACAGGGTGGAATAGACCAGCGGGAGGCAGAATATCCACCGTAGCCACACCAAAATAGGACGCCAGGGACTGGTCGACAGGTTGGGTGATGATCTTGGGATGACCGATAGGGTAAGGGCAGTTCTTATTCACCCATGGGTACAGGGAGGTCACATCCACATAACGTATTTCCTCCCCCTCTTCAGCCACAGCGTGCAGGGCCACCGCACCGGTGCGACCCCCAAAAAAGGCGTCACGGGGTTCCAAGGGTGCCACCAAATCAAACGACGTCAGGAAACGTTGGACAGCTTCATCCGTGGCCACCNTAACTTGTAAAAGTTTTTCTAAATTGGGAGAAATGCAAATAATCTGGTATGGCTGTCAAAAATGTGCTGACATTGGTCGCAATGTATTGATTCACAGTTCGATTTTCTAGTAAAGACGTGTTAACATTAAGCGGTTTTTATTCATGTGTAATAATTTGTTTCATAGTTTGTGGGGATCTCCCCTTAAGTTTTGGCTTAACAGTTGGGATGACTGTATGTTAATGATCTTATTTGTTTTCCTTTGGGAGCAGCTGTACAGTACCGCAAATGATCCTCAACCGCCAATGATCCCGAGACCGAGACCGCAAATGATCCCCAAAATGGACCGCAAATGATCCTCGACCGCAAGTGATCCCCAAAGGCGACCGAAAATGATCCCGAAAGAAAAATAGAAATGGCTTGGGCTCATCGTGTCAATTTTATCATTATTACAAAGAGTCAGACTAAAAGCGAAATTTTACTTCTCAAATAAATACTGTACACGAATTAAAACTAAAGAAAAAATATCATTCAAGTGTAACGTCCTGCGTGTCTTAAATTTTTACAGCGACGAAACATTCTTGAAAGAAATTTGAAGAAATTGACAAGAGAAGTATACGTATATGTTGCAATTTAGATTCCTAAACATAGCTTTTGCAATACTGTATGTTTGTATGGTCATGCAAATAAAGCTCGTTGTTGTTGTTGTTGTATATATTCTGCGATTTTAGTACTCCTCCATCCTACTTCAGGTTACTCTGAAATACACTTCTACTTTGAAATACACTCTGAGATCGCTGAGATATATGTGAGTGGGATTATTAACCGATAGAATAAACTATAAATTGGATAAAAAGTAATTTAATTAATGAGCATGCGCTGAACCGTGAGCCTGTCCCTTTAAAGGACATTTTTGGGGGTAAATAAGGTGCATTATGGGAAATGTGGAGGTGGCGTATTTCTCAGTCAATTTGCGCTAGCAGGCTCATTATTGGCAAGTGAACATTTTCATCTGGTTCTTTCTGGATATGCTAAACTATCCCATATTTTCTCCAATTTAGTTTTTATGACGTCATCGCTTAATTTTCTTCTCCATAGAGAACTAGATAAGGTTTACAATAGACGTGAAGAATATTCTTATTCTTATATGTTATCTAGATCGCTACTGTTTTCAGCACTTTTTATTGAAATCATATATCATTTTCCTCAAAATCATGTCCGGTCGCTACGAGGGTGTCGAAAATCGGGTAAACCATTAGAAAAAGTGTAAAATCAGTGTTATGGGACATTCTGCTGAACGTTGATAATCTATCAATATCTGAATTGTTACAACATCGACACGTAAGACTGTACACTGGTGATCTCAGTACGTTTGAATGAGTACTTATGTCCTCTTAGTGTGACCCATTTTATTCCATCGGCGTCTTGGTTGCTGTATTTTCCACTGTAGTATACGCCATTAGGATTTGCCCAACTGCAGGCGTTATACCACCATCCTCCTTTTTGTGTCTCCGCGCAGTTTGCGCTGGATTCGTCATTATCAGCGTCTTTGGTTGAAAATTGCATGTTGCTGATAAGAAATAGAGAACAGTCGTTATCGGTGCATCCATCGATAGTGCATCTCCCCGGGGGTACACTTCCTTGTATACTTTATAGATCTGTGTTGATTTTTTCATGTGTAATTATGATAATATTTTGTTCTTATTGTTTAACTGAGGGAACCCATTCCTTATAAGCCCAGTGGTTTCTCGTGGGCTTCCTCGCCATGAGGGTTTAAATAATTAGATTTCCTTGCTTTTGTACAACTTATGGCAAAACAATAAACTGAAGGAAAATGAACTGAACTGTGCTTTCCAAAGTCTGACCAAAGGGCATAGTTTTTGAGACTTTTTGTTCAGAACACGAAGAATGCAAAGCGTGGAATCCAGAACCCAGGACTGTCTTGGATTCTCATAAATGGGGCAAACAGACCAGTAAAAGGGCGGAGAGACTTACACATGGGGCAAACAGACCCATACATGGGTCAAACAGACCCATACATGGGGCAAACAGACCCATACATGGGGCAAACTGACCCATGCATGGGTCGAACAGACCCATACATGGGGCGAACAGTCAAAGTGCAGGATAAAGACGTTTCCGTCAAAATTTAACAGGTAGTTAAAAGAGAAAATAAAGAAAAAGAAGACATTCTTGCTTTCAAAAATGCGATGTAGCACCCACAACCGTAAAAACGTGGTGAAAGCATAATACTAGTTAACATCAAGAGTATATGGAACGAACTGTTTAAAAATATACCGCGGCTATCTATTGACAAGAAATTGAGAAATTTTCCTTAAAACTGCTACATCGTGTATAAGTAACCAAATATGGAGCAACAGAGATTTAAAATTTCTGTTTACGAGGAGTGCATCTACTGTAGATCACGTGATTGTATACAACACGCTTTTCCGGAGTGCTTTGGTGGCCTCTCTCTTTCACAAGAGATGATACGGATGGTTTAATGATAAACACAAGGTAATACTCAACCTATCCAGCTTGCAGTTGGTCTTCAAAGATTACAAACCTCCTTCAAAAGTATTGGTCAAAACGTAACTTTTGGATCCCAATTTCCAAACTTAGAAATATTATAAGCAATGCAAAATGTTAGGAAAAGCTTCCAATTCCTGTCATCTAGCAACAAAAGTATTAGCTCAATGGCAAATTGATAAATGCCAGAAAATTAACCTACTTAAGAGCACCTTTTTCGGTGACAATCTCTCCTGCTTAAATTTCCTTCTTTTTTTGTAGAGTTGTCAGTTTTTACGTACTGGACTGTTCTGTACAGTTGTAGCTTTCTGTTTAGCCTTTTATTTTTATTTTAGTTACTGGTTACGGTAAAATATGTAACTGTTGTGCGTGTGGCGGAAAGTATAATAACGATTTATTAAAAAAAATTGTGATAAAATAACAATAAAAAGAAGAAAGAATAGAAGGAGATTAAGGAGAAGAAGGAGAAGAACAACAAGAACAACAAGAACAACAGTGTGCTGTGCTAAGTCTCACCAATCTAAAATCAATACTTACTTTGCAGGTCGAAACTTAGCGCTATCTGTCATGGAGTCACCAGCTGTGCCATTGTACCCTCCAACCGCAATACGGTATTTATCCACCCCATCAGCGACCTTAAAAGTGGAATATTCAGCATACGAAATTTTGCCATCAAAGTCCTCCAGATCAATTCTAAGCATGACATCATGGGCTGCTGTCAAACAGTGAAGATTGTCGTTTCCAAGCCAGAACTCACCGCTCAGATCACCAAACCCATTTTTGTAGGATTCCCAGTCGAGCTGAAAATCCACCGAGCCGTCTAAACGTCTCTGAAACACGGTCCAACCTCCACCGTCTGTGGTCATGTCACAAAGCACTTGTATTGGCTTACAACCATCTGGGATGATGTGATAGACGCCATTAGAAGTGAAACCATTCTGAGAAAGTCCAAGGCAACTTTTCATTTCCTCTGTAAGTAATTAGAAACTAATTAATATATACACAAGGTCTGATTGAGGTACGTTACAAGTTGGCCACCGTAAAGGAGTCAAAACCGTCCAAAAGTTAATAGGGAGCATAAGCAGGGGCGTTTCACCACAAGTGACACCTACACTCACACACTATACTTTATTTCATGCACATCATTTTGCCATCTCCACCCGCAAATAGCAAAAGCTAAACGAGGCGGGTGGAGAGGAAAGGTTACAGCAGTCATAACAGATAATATAATAATTGTAAAGTAATTAAATAAACTATCTGGATAAATAAGAATTACTGAAAAACAAGCTAACCTTTTCGTTTAAATATACCTTGACGCTATCACATATGATGGCTAGGTGTCCTTACTCTTATAGAAACGGTTAAATCGAAAATGTGGACAACACCACTGCCCAAGAATGTACTTCACTTCACTTCCCGTTGACTTACGCTGCTCAAAAACGTTGACTAGCTTCCTAATATTTTGAGTCTTAACCTCCATTTCGAAAAGGCAAGTTAATTAGTTAGTTTTAAGTTTGGTCAAGCGCTCGCTCGAACAACATGGATTCTCCCTCCCCAGTCACTTTGGTCTATTATTGCCGTCCTGAGTTCTCCAATACTGGCGAACCCAGAGTCCTCAAGCAAAGTGTGTATGTGTGTGGTCTTAGGTAATCCTCTCTTAGTTTGTCTGTGTTGAATTGTGGCTGCCATAAAACAAGCTTCAATGTCTCCTCTTCTCTTTGTGTCTAACAAAATGCTCAGCTAATCTCATTCTTCTTTCCCTGATCTTGCCAGAAACTTTTGGCAGGTAACCGTACAGATCTTTAATTGGGATTTGTTCCCTCCAAGAAACGTTAATTAGTGCTGTGCGAAGCATTCTAGTATAGGCGCCATCAATTTTCTTTTCTGTGCTTCTGGTTAGAGTCCATGTTTCGCTGCCGTAAAGGAAAACACTTTCAATTGTTGTCATTAATATCCTAACCTTTAATTCCCTACACGGGCTAGATTTCCAAATTTTGCCCAGCTTATTGCACGCCACCCCAATTCGCAAACCAGCCAAAATTCCGAAAAAAATTAAGTTCATACACTGACAAACTGTCTTTCTTAACTGTTACATCAATAACAAGTGACCCTAGCCCTTTCCATAAATTTTAACGAAAATTCAACTTGGGCTCCAACGACGTTCTTTTTAACACTATTCGACGAAGACGTATTATTTGCCTTTTTGCAACTAAATCCAGGGAATGTATTACATTTATCATGACTAAAGGCTTGGTTACTAATGAATGGATCGACCGTTAAAAATGGTAAAGTCCCGTTTACGAAAGTGTAATAGGCCACTCCACCAAGGCTTGAGCTTTTCTCGTTTGGTTTGTCTTTGACAGAATCATCAATCCAAGGATGTAGGTATTTTTAAAAAATCAGCCACTGTTCTTATTGAATCAATTTGCTTTTTGGTTCTCTTTATTGCTAGATCTTGATTGTAGACGATTGCCTGAGTTTTTACTGTATCAAGTTTTAGTCCGACATTTGCAAGAAGGATAAAAAATGATAAATGGCATTGCAGGATAGTGCAGGGGTAAATACGGCGAGTTATTTACTTGTTTTTTTGTTGTTGTTATTTTAATATGTTCAGTATTCAACGCACTGCCTCTCAGGCTTTGGAATTTTTTGCCTTACTCCTTTTCCTTGTTAGTAACTTTCCGCGTGTCCCGCGTGTCTGACTCCCCCTAAAATGTTTTGCAATTCTTATTAGATTTAATGCAACCAAACCAATTGGGGAAATGAAACATTGTATATTGTGTGTAGGCATCCTACTGATAAACAGTTACGACTTACAGCTAGATACAGGAATGTTTTATCCACACCAATTGCTGTCTTTCCCCTTCCGTTTGAGAAGGCCACTTATACGATATATCAAAATTCCTCAGTAATAGTGAGTCTTAGAGGACACTAACAAACAAAATGAATGAACCGTGTCTATTTAACAATTATTCCTCTAACCCCCGAATGAGCTCTGAGTCAATAGCCCATTAAGCCGATGGCCGAATGGGCTATTGACTCAGAGGCCATGAGGGCGAGAGGAATAATTGTTTTAGTAGAATCCAACTAGTTGGTCAAAAATATCGAGAATAAAAAACTTTTAGCTAGTTAAAGCTAGACTTTAATCCTTTTTGGCCGCCAAAGCTAGCGCTTTTCGCCACTAGTGGGCTATAACATATAGCCTAGTAGTAGCTCAACCAATCAGAGCGCAGCATTGATAATAGACCACTCTAAGCTGGTTATCATGCTGAGTTTTAGTATATAGAAAATAGCCTATTACTTACTGCAAGGTTTCCCTCCATATCCAGTGCAACATTTACATTCAAAACTGTTCCTGAAGTAGTCTGGGATACAAATTCCTTTGTTTCCACAAGGATCATTAATACTTGACTCGCAGATACTCTGTTTTGAGGATGAAAATGTCTTAGATGAATTAATTTGACTAAAAATGTCAATGTCGATGAAGCCAAGAATTTAAGGCCTAATATCTCATAGGAAATCCCTGTTAAGAGTTTAATTGGTGACAAATTGATGGGAATTCTACATTTAAACAAATTTTGACTTTTAAGGGAATCGGCATTTTTAAATTTTAATTTTAGATAGAAAATGATGAAAACAATGAAAAACTATTCCTTCAAGCCTTGACCGGAATATTGTTGTCCCCTTCAAAACTAGTTGCCTGCCCAGAGAATGACAAGGCGCCATGCTTCCTACTATTCGTGCATGGATTTTTGAAACAGCAAGGAATCCGATATTGTAAATTGCTTTTAACTTTTCCTCTAGCGAACAACATCATTTTGAAAGTAGAGACAAATGTTTTCGACGCATTGTTTTCAAATTTTAGTCTCGTGCTGGGCTGTCTAAGGCACCTTTAGATACGCAGGTATAATTGAAATTACTCGTAAAAGATAATTAAGCTAGATTAAGATTGGTCAGTGGGTGTCGAAAATGTGATAAATGTACAATAAAAAATTAGTTCCTTTATATTTTACATTTGGAAAGCCGAAAGCGAGTAATATTCTGAACGCATTGCTTTCAACTTTTAGTCTCATGCTGGCTTGCCTCAGGCACTTTTAGAGATACAAAGCTAAAATAACTTGAGTAGTGAAGGAGGCTCAAGAAGGTCCCGACCAATCACAGCGCAGCAGAAATTGTCTCGACCAATCACCATCGAGTATTTAGCCCATGTGACCAAGATGACGTCAAAGCTCCCATATTTGGGCATAAAAATCACGTGACCCCACCCAAGAGGTGGATCTGCATGCTTGGCATAGTTTTAAAGGACCGCGTAGAACCTGGGTACAAATGGGACACTCAAAACGAAACCCCAGTCCCCTCACATCCCCGTCAGTCCATAAAAAAAACACACACTGTATTGAGGTCCACATCATTTTAATACAAGTCTCGACAATACCCTAAATGACATCCGGGACGTGTGTGAGGTCCTAGTGACGTCACGCCCTTTTTTAATACAATTCTAATAGCAGATCGAGTTCATCCCCAATCCTCTCGTAGCCATAGGGATAGCTGGATCGGGTGGTCACATCAATGAGGCGCTTGTCAAACACCAACCTATACTGCTTCACACGCGGAACCACTTGAATTTGTTTCTTCTCTAGATCCCGTGTGAAATGATAAGGAGTGACAATATTCAAATTCCGGCGAGAGTCCTGAGGCGAGTCTAGTTCCGAGAGAATATTCTCTTTCATGGTGTGAAAATTCAGAATGGCAGACCCCCGAACATTCAGCGTGAAACCACGAACCTTGCACACCACTTTACCTCCACGGGTCGTGTACCCATAATTCTTAGCACCTCCCGAAACAAACTCGGTGATGACATCCCCGTCCAATTCATCCGTCATGTCCCCCAAAAAATCACCTGTGGTGATGGAGGGTTGACCGGGACGCCACTTGTACACCACACTGTCGGTATCATAATAAAGCACTTGCTGCTGGAGAGTGTCCAGGGACTCGTAGAGCTTGAGTCGAGCATGACACGTGGTGAACGCCGCCACAAAGATGTTGGTCTTGGTGCCTTTGATGGCATTGTCTTGGACACTGGTGTAAACGGCTTCCAAAATATCGTCGGTACAGAGGCGGAGTGTACTGAGATCAAGAGCTGCATCAGAAACGAGGCTGAACAAATGGGTGGGGTTTTGAACGGTGATGGTGGTGGGTTTGTTGATCCGCTCGCCAAACTTGCCCCAGAAACTATTCAACATGAGTTTGGCCGTGGCCTTGCGACCAGGGTTTTTGGCAATGCTGGCAATGTCCAGTCGGATCCCTTCCCGTTCCTGGTAGCGAAGAATGTACTCGCGTTTTTGTTCGAGGGTCTGGCACCAACTGGGCCACCCCGCGGATTCTTGTTTGAGTTTGAGCCAAGTGTTCACGTAATTGGCGAAAAGACCTGTTTGGCGTTGCTCAGGGGGAAAATGCCAGACTTCATGGATCTTGATCAAGGTGTACCCCTTTTCCACGGCTTTGACCAGCTCAGGCGTACACCAGGTCCCACGTAGCGTGCGATCGGCGTCCGAATGAGGGCAATACTGGGTTCGGGTCAACATGGGTTGGGCTTGCTCTGTCTGGACACAGGCACGGCAGAGAGGAAAGGTGAGCTTTTGGCCACAGCGTACAGGCAAGACAGGGTGGAATAGACCAGCGGGAGGCAGAATATCCACCGTAGCCACACCAAAATAGGACGCCAGGGACTGGTCGACAGGTTGGGTGATGATCTTGGGATGACCGATAGGGTAAGGGCAGTTATTGTTCACCCATGGGTACAGGGAGGTCACATCCACATAACGTATTTCCTCCCCCTCTTCAGCCACAGCGTGCAGGGCCACCGCACCGGTGCGACCCCCAAAAAAGGCGTCACGGGGTTCCAAGGGTGCCACCAAATCAAACGACGTCAGGAAACGTTGGACAGCTTCATCCGTGGCCACCAACTTGTCCCAGTCACACTCCCACATTTCGATGACGGTGTAACCTGCTCGGAGCAGGGCCAGGCGTTTGGAGAGCGTGGCCTGATACAGTTCCTCCACGGTTCGATCTGGTGTGGCATAATGTTTGGCGTTTCTCATGGGATAACAAGTGGGACAGCCATGATAGAGACACCCATGAAATTCGTAAACAGTGCGGGTCAGAGGATCATAGCCATCGACGAAATAACTGTTCACAAGGGTCCGGACAAACTGCTCACCCCCATTCCGGACATGTCGAATGCGATCGGCACTAGCCCCCTCTTTAGGAATAAGGTGTTCTTGGTAGTACAACCATTGTAGGGCCTTGAGGGATTGATTGACTTGAGCCCCTCGCCACCCCTGGAGCGGTTCAACGGCAATGGTGTCGGGGGTCAAATGATGCTTGCGCCAATAGAGATTGCAGGCACTGGCGATGGTGATACATTTGGCCATGGGATTGAACCCAGCCTGCCGTTCAAATTCTTGTTGAAAGGCTTCA